ATCAAGTCCAGCACATGAGCTGTGTGGAACTCCTGCACCATTACACCACACACCAGAAGTATAAAAGTAACTAAAACTATGCACCACAAAAGGAGTGAAGTTATATCTTCTTTATTTAAAGTTGTAATACAGTTATAAAGGGGGGATTTCTATGACATTTCACTTTTTCTCTGCAACCTACATTTAAACCCATGAACTAGTTCAAACATGTTTATGAGTAATCTGGCCTTCCTCAGTCCCAGAGATTGGGAGTTCGATCTGCCACTGCACCTCCTGGGAGAAGAGCTAGCCTATGTCATCTTGGGTCAACTGCACAGTTCCATACCACACTTAGAAGACAATAGCAAACCAGCTTTGAGTATTCCTAGAAAAGTCCGGAAAGGATCGCCGTAACTTGAAATAAATCTAATGACATGTCACTTATTATCATCTAAGCATTGTGCTGCACATGCTTACAAGAGTTGTCAGGTTCCAGGACTCCAACTGCAGTCCAATGGAGTAGCTATGTTTCTGTAGGGGAGACCACTAATCTCAAGGCAAGCAACACTGAAGGAAATAGTTGGATTCCTATGATAGCATCTTATGCGTGAGGCACCTCTACTCTTGCCCAAGAGTCCTCTCCGAGTCAAAATTGTCTGTGTTCTGAATGGTATAATGGGCTGTGTTCACGCATTGGCTTCTCCCTTTCTGGTGCACTAGCATGGGGCTCCATCATGCCATTTGGAGCAAGGCAGAGAGTAGACCACCCATATCATAAGGCATTTGCTTATGGCTGCACCATTAATAGCAATGGTAAGAAGACTAGGGGGGAAAATCCCTCTCCCAAACCATGGCTGCCCTGCCCCTGGAAATTACAAGGATCTGCCCGTTTTGTAGTCTCAGGTTTTGGCTGTAAGATCTCAGGAAATGGGGTCGTGCTAGTGTGGCAACAGCACTCGAAGCAAGAAATAATGCATATCAAATTAAAATGATTTTCTAAAGTTACTGTTTACTTGTTGATCAGCTACAGATGTTGATCGAGTGTTGGCTTATGATACATAAGACAAGTGCTTCAAGCACATTTTTGTCTATCCTTCTGACTGGATCTGGTGCTTCATGCTGAAATCTTAATTTTTATATAAAATATTTTAAATTGGGAGCACGAACTAATGGTCATAATTTGGGACCATGGTCAGTGCACTTGTACTGTTTTAAATAACTGCATGGTAAGACCAAGGGACTGAATATAGGCATGTTATTAGTTAAATTCAGGGCCAGGCATAGACATTTGTAAAGTTGTAAAACGAGCATAAAGGGGGTGGAATAAATTTAATTCACAGAGTTTTCCTCTGCTCCCCAAAACATTAATAACTGAGGTAGGGCCAGAGATAAATACTTGCCATATTCTACAGTGTATCCTATTGATTTATGAATGCATTGCCCTTTCCCACCTTTGTGTTTTGCTGCATTTACAAGTGAGTAAATTTGTCTAGCCTGATCCTATCCACATGGGAGTGAGTGCCACTGATTTCAATTATCTGTTCAGCTTAATAATTGTATACTGTCAAGTCAATTGTGACTTACCCTGACCCTTTCCAAGGTTTTCTAGCTACATGAGAAAAATATACTTTGGTATTGTTGCCCCTATGCTCTGGAATTCCCTTCCTAAATTCTTACAAAGTATAACATCCTTGCAGGGATTCAAGAGGGGATGTTAGACAGAATGCTGGGGAGGATGAGATGGGTTGGTGAGAAGATGATCTCTTGTGATCAGCCCTAGTAAGCAATCTGGCTGCTGCATTTTGGACCTGCTAAAGTTTCCAGACATTTTCCAGATGTAGCCTATGTAAAATGTGTGTTTGCTGTCATGTTGAGAGCACATGTATACTATCTACAACTGCGATAAATGTACATGCAGTGTATTTCACCAATGTGGAATTAGTGACAATTCCTAAAGCTTTAAAGACTATGAACCTAGACTGCCACCTGCAGGTTATTGTAATACCCATCTAGCCTTACAATATTAACAAAGGAGTACATGCTGCTGTTTCTTTGCCTTCCCTTCATATACTGCATAATATGGACTTTATTAGGATTGTGTTCTGCTGCTCTTCTCTCCCTGCCATCCCCATAATTTTTAATGTAGAGATTAGAATAACAATTTCCCTTCCCTACATTAATTTCTCTAAAATATGACTAAACATCCATGTTCTTTTAACAGATTTTCCAGTGCATGTATAACTTTGTTTTATTTTGAAACCTCGAAAATTTTCTCCTGTTTCTGCATTTACTTCTTCTTTAAAGGGTTTTTAAGACACACACATGGCTGGAGTTTCACTAACTGCCAGTATAGTGGATAGAATGTGGGACTTGGGAGACCTGGGTTCAAATTCCGGTTCTGTCATAGAAATCGATTGTGGGGGTGCCACTGGTAAAACCATTCCTTACTATATCTCACATATCTTGAAAAACTCTTACCAGTTACCATAAGTTAGAAATGACTTGATGACACATAATAGAGCCTCATTATGACAGATATTAAATTCTTCACATCAGCTGTCACTTCATCATCAGTTTAAAACACAAACAGGCAACCTGCATCCCTAGAGCCAGGTGCACCCTTCAGCTTAAATTCATGCTATGTAAGTGAACATGCAAGTTCAGGAGGGAAAAGGAAAAATGGTATACTCTGCTGTTACTTGTATGCACTTCATCAGATTTCCTGCAAAGAATGCTGCTGTCAACCAAAACTACCTTGCTTTAAATAATGTTTAATAACTGAGAAGTATTATCCCTCGTAAGAACAATTGTGCTGGATCACTCCAAAGATCTTGTACAGCATTGTTTTCATAGTAACTACCAAGGAGGATGCCAGCAAATTGTATTTATGGGCATATGTTCTCTAAAACTGAAGGCAATGCATACATAGCCATTGTGATTCACAGCCTCCTCCATCAATCTTTATCCTCTTTAAAAACTGTTCGGGCTAGGTGCCGTCACTAAATATATCTCAGGGTACTGAATTTTCAGTCATGTGAAATCCTTTTCTTCCCAACCATCCTGAATCTATTTCTGGTGGATGTCCCAGGTTTTAGTTCCGAGATAAGGAAAACTATTATCAAGACACATTGGCCGAAACCTTACTTGTGCAGCTATATCAGAAGGTAGATGATGTCATCAACACTTTTAGTAAAAACACTTCCTACTCTCCCATGGCTTCTAGAGATAGCAGCAGTCAATATTTAAAGACCCCATTTAGCAGCATCCACATGATGAAAGGGACTACATTGGAGACACACGACAGTAGTAGTATTTTAAAATTGTCTCTGATGATGATGGTATCAGTCTTCCATGGGTATCATTGTGCAAGGAGGATTTCAGACTGTTACACAATTTTATAATGGCAAATCCAGATATTTGCATCCAGCAGTAGGATATACAATCCACTATGAGCAGTTCACTACCTATTCTGCCACCACAATGTTTTTAATCCTAGATTGCAATATGTATTATCCACTGCTGTGGCAATCACTGGTACTACAGACACAATGAGTTGTGATTTAGGACCATAATCTGCTGATAAGATGACATGGCAGGATTACACGTCAGGTGAAGCTGTCAGCCAAGATCCTACCATTACACAAGATTTGCTTGCAGGTTAGGAGAGCTATGTGTTGTTGATATTCAAGATCTCTTGCAATTAGGGATGGGCACTTCATCTTTTAGACCAGATGGGCGGGTATAAATCAAATAAATAAATCTTCATGAGAAACGAAGTGTGGCACCACAGGTAGTGCAGATTCCCACACTGCATTCCCAGAACTGGCCAGTCCACTTACTAGGCTCCATGTGGCACAGGGTCTACCATCAGTGCTGGCACACCAATCTAGGAAGAAGCCTGCCCAGCTCTTCCCCACTTCCTCACAAAGTTGACCATGCATTGGCTGAGTGGGGAGACTCCATGCCACAGTGGTCAATTGCCTCGGAAGGTGTACCCTCCCACCGAATCAGGCATCCACTTACTGCTTGTGACATGGCAAGTGCAGCCATCATCCTTTACGCTGCATCAATCACAGAAGTAGCCCAGCTGGTGCTTCCCCACCTCCCTGCACTGTTGACCAATCCGGGGAAGGATTGGCCACCTTTGGTGGTGAGCTTCACATTCGTCTTTCCCAGGAGACAAATATGAAGCTCCCATCTCTAGCTAGAATCCAACTGCAAAAGTAAATTTGTTACACCCATTCCCCAAAGCTTAAGACTTCTAATTGTATCCATTAAAAAAATTCCATACTTCTAACTTCCTGAAACCTCACCCTAGAGCCATCTGGACATCTAAGGAATTTAATATTTAGCAGACTGAAGATGTTAGGCCATTCCAATTCATGCAAAAATAGATTCCATTCTATGGTGAGATTCTTTGACTCAGCGGCCTCTGCCCATTTCTACATGAATGCAGGTTAACTATTGGTTTTAAATATAAGAAAAGGAGTAATCTGATTATCATGTCCACTTTCCCATATAATACATTTCAGTGGTACCCATACATCAGAAAAATAAAAAAAACCCTGTTCAGCTAGGATGTTTTTGTAGCAATTCCTCATTACTATTTAGGCCATGAATTAGTTTACCTGCTTCCCACACCTATCTGACAAATATTTTTAAACTAAAGCATTCATTAATTGTCCAAAGCATAAAGGACATGAAATGTAAGAAAATGTAGAAATATATGCCTGGACAAAACAGAACAGGATTAAATGATTAAAACAAAAGAGCCAGAATTTTATGTCTTTCTGTAGCACTTTTTGGGAATGTCTCTTACAGTCACAATTAAAATAAAACCACAGTCAAATAGCATAATACAATGCATGATCCATAAAAACCTTTTTCAATGGAGGTTTGTAGCAATAAGCAATATTGCATAAGATGGTGAAAATGATCCAAGGATCATTTAGAGCCTAGGTTCCCAACCTTTGTTACTCGGATGTTTTTGAATTGCAACTCCCAGAAACCCCAGCCAGCACAGTTGGTGGTGAAAGCTTCTGGGAGTTGCAGTCCACAACTCCTGAGTAAGCCAAGGTTGAGAACCAGTGATTTAGAGCACATCCTAGCCCCTGGCCTACCCACTTATCCTTAAAATATGTTTTACAGCAGTTCCTATGCAACAAAGACATTTTAGAATGAAGTATGGTTTTCTTGTTCATGCCAAAATTATTTCCAGTAAAACATAATCGTCAATTATATCAATTCTCACTGTCCTTGAATGTGTTACTTAAATATTCAATCAGTGCTACAAGCTCAGGGTTGCCCCCAAGCAATTCAATTTGTTTATATGCTTCACATTCAAGCTCTTTTAGTGTTTTACGTGTATATTCAAAGGAACCAACTTTCTCAAGATAATGTACACAATACTTTTTAATATCCACATTCTCAGTCCGCTGTCGCAGAATATTCTGCACCTGTCTGCTTTCTGGCCTAGACCATATGGCATGTATAGTTGGGAATGAGAACTTCCCTTCAGTGAGGTCTTCACAAAAACTTTTGTTCTCACTATATTCTTTGGACTGTAAGTTTGCATAGTCATCACGAATTTGGAAGAAGAGCCCAAGAGTGTTAAGGAGTGGTTTTAAATCTTTTTTGTAACTGGAGAACAACTGCATGAGGCCCACAGCTAGTCCAAAGAGACCACCTGTCTTTTGCAGAACCATGGCTTTATACTCTGCTTCTGTAGGACAGGTGTAAGTATCTCTCCAGTAAATATCCAAGCCTTGGCCTTTGTGGAGTTCCAACAGTTGGCGGGTGAACACTGTTACAGCATCTGGATGATCAAGAGTTAAAACCTTTTGCAAGCCAAGAAAATACACAAAGTTCGCACAGTTTATTACAGATGGTATTCCATAGATGCTATGGGCCACTGGAAAACCTCGACGCAGTTTTGAATTGTCTTCTATGTCATCTATAAGCAAGCTTGCATTATGTAACATTTCTGTCACTTCTATGATAACCTAATGAAAAGAGAGAAAAACTATCAAATCCGATATTCCACCAGATGTAATTTATTGTTCTTCTACCATAACTATTGTTATACTTGCCTTATATGAAGCAAGATTTCTTGTGTCCATATACCAGAGATAAGAGGTAGTTTTTGTCCTATTCACACTGTGGCTTGGCAAAGATCGACCTCTCCTTCAAGCCCTCTAGCATATGTTAGAGGGTATGAGGGAAAGACTATTTTTCTACAAATTACAACATTTCTACAAATTCAGAATGTAGGAGACAAATGGAGTTACCTTAGAAAAGCCCCCCCAATAGGTCAAAGCCTACAAGAAGAACCACATGTACCTACATGAATCTGTTCCCTTAATGTCTGACAGTCTATACTTTCAAAATTATGGTTATACACTGTATATCTATCTATCTATGGAGGGAGAGAGCGAGAGCACTTTTATATACAAAAATCATTAATCCTCAATTTGATCACCATCTGGTCCCCACAGTTGTGTAGCATTACATTCAAAACTAAATGTTACTGTTTTGGAAAAAAGTGTGATGTGCTACACATTTACAAGTAGCACAGAATACAAAATGGTTATGTGTTCCTATTGGCCAAAATGCTTATTGATTGATTCATTGATTCATTCAATTTATATCCTGCCTATCTGGTCTTGCGACCACTTTAGACAGCTACTCCAGTAAAGAGTAGAGTTAGAATGAGGGAGTTAGTTTTGGGATAAGATAGGACATAATATAAAAACATACCTTATTTTTCTGTGTATAAAACAACACTTTTTCCTAAAATCATTAGAGGAAAAATTGAGAATCATTTATACACGGAAGGAGGAGGAGGCGGGCAAAAGAGCAGCTGTGCTCGGCTGCCTCTCGTGGCTGCCCACTGACTGCTTCTGGCAGCGGCAGATCACGTCCTCTAGAGCCACTCGTGGGTTCCCTGTGGGCAAGGGACAAGGCAGTGGCATGAGGCGGAGGTGAGCCCCGTGAGTAGTGCTGGAAGAAGTGATTGGTGGTGGCAGCAGTTAATGGGTAGCCGTGAGAGATGGCCTAGCATGGCTGCTCTTTTGCCTCCGCCTCTTGCCACTTCCCGATCAGCTTGAGTGCCACTGCTGGGGCTCACCTCCACCTCACGCCACCGCCTTGTCCCCTGCCCGAAGGAAGCCCACGAGTGGCTTTGGAGAAGGTGATCGTGCAGTGGCAGCAGTCAATGGGCAGCCACGAGGAGTGGCTAGGCGCAGCTGCTCCTTCACCTCTGCCAAGAGTCAAAATCAGGGGTCTTATAAATGGAAAAATACGGTAGTTTTATAGTTGAATGGTGCTTTCAAAAATGACTGAGATCCAAGACAGTGATAACATGATTGAGGAACAGCAAAAAACCAAAATGGATTGTATGGTATTGCCTGTCCCAAGTAAGACTAGACACACTGAATCAACATTTATATAAATCTCACTGAATCAATCGGTCTACTCTGATTGGGACTAGAAATAGGACACCAAAGAGTAAATTATAGAATTTGAACACAAACAAACAGCTAAAAGCAATGGTTCTCAACCTTGGGTAACCCAGATGTTCTTCAACTCTAACTCCCAGAAACCTTCACCACTGTGGCAAGGGTTTATGGGAGTTGCAGTCCAAGAACACCTGGGTTACGCAAGGTTGGGAACCACTGTATTAAAGCAACCTAACTGTAAAACTATTTTAACGCACATGCACAAAACCTAAGGTACCCTTATTGAAAGCCCTTTCTTAGTACAGTGGTGCCTCACTTAACAATTACCTCGTTAAACAACGAATCCACTTTATGATAAGGTTTTTGTGATCGCAAAACGATGTTTAGATAGGGAAATTTCACTTGACGATCGGTTCCCTGCTTCATGAACAGATTTTTCGCTAGACGATTTTAAAACAGCTGATTGGCGGCTCTAAAATAGCCGCCCTCTGTGCAAAATGGCTCCCCACTGTGATTTAGGACGGATTACTCGCTTTATAGGCACTGAAAATAGCCGCCCCTATGGAGGATCTTCGCTAGACGCTGAGGTATTTAGCCCATTGGAATGCATTGAACCAGTTTTCAATGCATTTCAATGGGCTTTTTTGTTCTGGTTGATGAGGATTTCGCTTAACAGTGATTTCAACAGAACGAATTATCCTCGTGAAGTGAGGTACCACTCTACCAAGCTATTTGCAGAAAGCCTGCTTAAAAACCATAGTCTTTACCTGATGATAGAAATATCACATGGGTGGTGACAATTTATCCTCCCTTGGGAGGGATTTAATACATACATTAACTTGCACATCAATTTCATTTGTAGATTTGAACTTACCTGTAATTTATCTTCAGGAACATTCAGCCAGTGATTAAAAGCCTGGGAAAGTTTTGTTCTGACCTGCTTACCTGCAAATTAAGGTTTAAATAAAGGCATTATTTCCTGGTAGAAGCATAAACATTCACATCATGAAATCACACTACTCACTGATAGAAACACTAATGGGTGCTCACACACAATTTATACACAGGCTATTCACATTCAGGAAAATGGTGCAACTTCTAAAGTTTAGGAAAAAAATCTATTTTTATCGTATGAAGTGAAAAGTAATATATGCTGTGTGGCCTAGATCTAGTTGCGACTACTTATTCTAAGTCCTTGTGAAGATATACATACTTATGCCTTTGTGATAAGACACATGCCTTAAGATTCATGACACCTAACATATTGGGATGTTGCTCTGAGATGTTATTATATACTGTACTAGGTATACTTTGGAATTCTGGGCAACACTCAGACCTGTATTGCTAAATAGCTACCAGTTCTTAGGACAGAAAGGATTATGACACCCATGTATTAAGTGCACTTAATGCACTTAGCACCATGGAGATTTATGCCAAGAATTATACAAATTTCCAATAACAAAGCACCAAAGATTGTGGCACAGCAACACTTAGACCATATGAAACCAAGCACTATTTAGGGCAATTATAGGACAATTCTTTTATCCATGAATTGTTCCAAGTAGTTCAAACTGTTTTTAAAAAACTCCAAACACCCAACCAATAAAATTCAGGAATCTGAACAAAATAGATCAAGATTGTCACCTAGAGCTGTGGATATATTTGGAAGAGGAAACTGAATATTGGTACCTCAGAGCTCCTTATCGTAACACAGCTTCTTAACTGGCATTAACAGCATGGAGACACATAATTCATAAGTGCTCTAATAATTGATTATGAAGTGGAGAAACAAGTTCCCTGCAATGTCACTATTATATATCAGGCTTGAATTAATGGACAGGAAGCTCCAACAAAACAACTGACACTGACTATTTGTATCTCAACGGATATGAATATGTCTTGCAGTACTGGCTTTCCCCGCCTCCCTATGCAACTTACCACTTTGCTGAAAAGGTGAGACATGGAGTCTCCCCTCTCAGCTGATCACTGGTTGGCTGCATGGGGAGGGAGGGAAAGCTGGCTGGGCTCCTGCTGCAACGATGAAGGACCCAAACACTGCACTCAACCTAGATAGCGAGCCGGATGGTTATGGGAGAGGGAACTGGGTCCCTGTGGTGGTCATATTCATATCCCTAAATACAAATTGCCCATGTCTAATAACTAAACATACTGTACTAACAATTCAGTCTTGACATGGATGAGCTGTTAACATGGTGGAGTTGAAAAGGCCACTCACTAGTCAGAAAAATAAAGGTACAGAAAACTCAGTTGTAGGCTATGCCCCATTTCTTCCTGAATAACACTATTACAAGACCTATTGCAGTCATCCATGAAAGAGGAGGGAAGCATAAACCCACCCATTTTCCAAGGTAATGTATGCCACAAATTGTCAGCAATATCTTATTTATGCATTTGTCTTATTTATAGTTATAAAGATCTCAGTAAATTCTATGTAGGAGAAGCCAATCAGCCAAAATAAGTGAACACAAACATAACATCAAAAATTATAATATTTTAAAAACAGCATGAAAATATTTCCAGGAAACTTTTATTAAATTTCAACAGTTGGAATCCCACCCCCACCCATGTTTAGGCAAGCCTCGGCATAATCCTTTCTACAGCCAGAGCAACAGTGTTCAGAGCAGTGTCTTCAGTTGATAAACTTTTTTTCTCCCTCTTTTCTTTTCCTAATTATTTCCACATTCTTTATTTCTTATTATTTGTTTATTATTCAAGCTTCTTTGAGTATTACATTCAAACCAGGCTCTTGTGAACCAAAGTATATCTTCTGTAAGGAAATATTACACAGCCTGGTGCTTCTGGAATGCTCCGCAGTCAGATACCTAACCCACTGACCTGGCCAGCCAGCATTATACAGTGAAAGTATTCACTTATATCAGATTTGTAGTTAGTTGAGAAAGGAAAAAACAAAAAGCACCACAATGATCAGGTAGCAATGGGGGAAAACTAGAGACTGTTCTTAGAAATAAATAACATTAACCCTAGATTTTTGAAGCTGGGAAAAAGTGTTATCCTAACTTCTATCCAAATCAAAGAGATTACCATAACCACCACAGTTGAGACATTAATTTATCAAACACTACTAGAATTCAAACAACAGTTTACCTGGTAGTTGAAGTAGGTAATTATATGGCTCCAAGAGAATTCGTCTAGATGTTTCTTCTACCTGGTCCATTTTTTTCAAAATATCTGAAAATGAGTGATTTACTTTTTTTTAAAAATGCTCTTTAGTACTCAAAATAACAAGAGTAGTATCCTCTCAAGGATCACAGTGCAGGCAACTAACATGTGCAGACAGCTGTCCTATTTAGTGAGGTGTCTCTTGTGCAACTAGGTGTGCAACAAACAAATCATGCTGAAATCCCCAATAGGATACTGAACACAGTATTTTCACTATGGAATATGGCGTATGTAAATGAAAATGGCACTAATGATGTATAGGCTGTGGGCTGATATGCAGATGACAGGAGCAGAGAAAGCAGCTACCACACATTACACAAAATCTGCTCTTAAATATCTTTCAGGTTTTTATAAAGTTCTGAAGAACTTTAGATTTCCTATCACACAGAAAGTGCCACTGTGAAAATTTCTGAAACAATTCTCTATTTACAAACCCCATCTAAACATTTTACATTCATTTTAAAAGCAATATTACTCCAAATGCTTAATTTTTTGTGCATTTTCCTATAACCATTTTCCTTCCCTCATCTCTAATGTTTCTTGCTGCAGTGCAGATGCAGTTACTTCAGAATGAAACAATTAATGTCATGCAATTTAAATACAGAAACTACATTCATAATAGGGCCCCATGCCAATTCAGCACTCACACTGTTGACTGACAAATATCTAACATGCTGTTTCCCAGTATGTAATTTCTAATGATTTCCCAATCATTACACATTTTCTGTGTAAATGATGATATAGAACAGTGTAGCTTCTGAACACTTACAGTAGAGGCAAACTGAGGTAAAAAGCATCCTCTAGAACTGAACTGATAAATGCTTAAGTATCCACTCTAAACCTACAAAAGTACTATACACACCAATGAGAACAGAAACGCATTTAGACTCATCCAGATCAAGAATGTGTAAACGAAACAAATGCCTAATATTGAAAGGATTGTATTCAGCATTATCCTTCTATATGTGTGACAGACACCACATTTGTGACATACACCACTGCCAGATTCAACTCCCTTTTATGTCTCTAAAGTATGGGGGGTGTTGTTTGAGGATTACTACAGAACAGACCTGAACATGTCTAGAGATACCTTGTTATGCAAGCAGAAGCCTGCATAAGTTGAACAGTGTGATTTTGATAAGAAAAGTACAGTATCTTCTTACACAACTATTCAGTGTGGCAGAATCTAAGCTAACCACTCAAGAGTATTTGCTAATATACATACATATTGTTTTGCATCTTTAAGATTAAAAAAATCAATTTATTTATACATACAGAGATGTTGATTATGATCCATGAAAATTCACACTGAAACAGATTTGTTAAAGGTGCCATAGTAATGTTATTATTTTAGGTATTACTGAACAGACTAATATGGCCATCTCTTCCCAATATGATAAATATGCCAGATATTTTCCCCTGTCTTTTACATAAAAACATTGGTTCACTCAAAATTTCCCTAAACACTTACAGTATCATAGCTTTTTCAGAGACAAAGAATTAGTATATATTAAGGATCAACATCCATGGTCCCACAGGCAGGCATAAAACTTAGGCTACAAGTGTAGAATGTTTAAGTTCTATGAAAAGCAAAGCTAAACGAGATTTTCAAGTTAGGACTTAATTATAACATACTAAATAAAGAATTTTCTGAGGTGTAAATACAGTATAAGATACACTATTAATGCCTGAATCAGTGGGTGAGCCTCCTAATCATACTTTTATAATTAATGTTCTAGCAAATACACCACAATTCTTTCAAATAGGAATTAATGAAACATATATATGAAGTGGAGGAGTTGTATGTGCAGGTTGTCTATGACTAAAATCTGGCTATAATATAATTCATGTTTTAGTAAATAAAATTCAATGGTGCCATAAATGCAGACTAACCTAGTTATCACACTAACTCATAACTTTGCAACAAATCATTAGTGACCATTCTCCCTTCAGCTTTCAAAAATGAACATCATATTTTTCTGACATGGCATCTGCTTGGTGCACAACAGCACACAAACTGCGTTCTCCTAGTTGCAGTTTTTGTTGTGCTGGTAAGAGTCGTAACAAACTAATTTGTTACAAAGCATACTGAATACTGTACAGACTTGCACTCTTGCAAAACATCAGAAATACTGTACACTTTTTTGAAATACTGAATACACTGCTTAAAATATCTACAGTATTTTAGTTAACCCATAACTCATCTTAAGTTTAAAATGCAGATCTCTCCTTCATTTAAAAATTATTTTGTGTTTCTTTTGCTCTCTACGTTGCATTGTACAATAATCCCTTTTTGACATACCTTTCATACTCAATAATTTAGAAAACAGAGCCTTCACACGCTGTTACATATTACATTATATACACAAATGTGTCCACAAAAACAATGCATAAGGCATCACATTTGTGCATGTGAACTCCTCTAAAAATACTCCAGTAGAACTCTTACACTATCGCAGATGACTTTTAAAAAAGAAAATACTATTAACTAAACTTCGATCGTGTACCAGACCGTAAGGACGACTTTTATACCATTTTAACTCAACCATAGGTATGGATAGGGTGTGGGTTTTCATCTAAAAATATCTAGAACTCGTAAAGCTGGAGAAATCTAGTTTAAGTGTTATGAGACAAAGTAAAACTACAGAGCAAGAAATCAGTATCATTCAGGCACCACTCTACAAAGACTTCATAAGGGCTCCTTTCACCAACCAACACCAAATTCGTATAAAGACAAGACATTAAAACCAAGTAAAAAAGGGATTTTAAAGGAATACCCCGAGAGTACAAACCGACAATCGCTCCTGAACACAAGAAACGTCCGCTTTTTTCTTTCACGCCTACGAGGTTAAGGGAGGATACGAGTCAAACTCGAAAGCAAGAACACCCGGCGCTTCCTTCCCACTCCCACCAAAGAGGCGCGCGGTTCACCCTCCTCAGGCGCCGCGTCCCCATTTTTATACCTACCCAGGGAAAGGGTGGAGCCTTCTGAGGAAAAAGCGGAGGGGAGGAGAGAGAGGGAGGGGGAAGCGGTTTGAAACCCGACACCCACTCCTGCCGCCCGGTTACAACTAGAAAGCCGAAGGAGCCCCTCTTCAAACCTAAACCCTCACCGCCAGGACCCCAACCTACCGCGGCCTCCTCCGCTGCCCCAAACCAGGACCTTCTGGCAGGTCTCGGGCGTCTCTCCGCCTCTTTCAAGCCACTCTGGCGCGATGGGCACAAAGCCCCACCCCCTTCCGCCTCAATCGCCACCTTCGCCTGATGGGGGAAAAATGCGCCACCGGGGCCTCTTGGCGCAGGCGCGAGCTCCTCCCACACTCGTTTTAATACCGCTCTCATCGCTTCTTGCCCCCTCCATTTTCTCATCCCCACTTTCTGCCTCCCGGTGCACTTCGGGAATTGTAGTACATGTATCGTACAGATCCAGCGCGAGCTGCGACCAAAAGGTGGGTCAAAAAACCTTGTTACCCAGAAGACCTCGCTGAGATGAGTCTCTTGTTTCCATAGAACTAGCAAGAGAATTACATCAGTGTTTCTGATAGAGAGGCTAATAGCGTTAGGAAATAGGCGGGTACTGTGGGTTGGAAGCCAATGGGGGACAGCAAAGGCGGGGAGAGGGCGGCCTTTGAGCTGTCAATCATGCTTCTGGTCTTGGGGGAGGGGAGCGAACAGCTTGGAGCGGAGCTGCTGCTGTCGCTGTTGCCACCGGGGTTCGGACGGGGAGAGATTGGCCCCCGTTATTGCCGGGCGAAACCCCTTGCCGGCCTCTAAAACCAGGCCGACGTTTGCTCCATAGACGTGTTTTTTTGTTGTTGGCTTTTTTTTTGCCAAGGGATCGGGTCCAGCCTTGGGAGGAGGCTCCATCCTCCCCGCTCCCCCCCCCGCAGGTTGGGGGGACCAGCGAGCGGGCGGGCGGGCGACAGCCGCGGAACAAAGGTAACGTTGCCCCGGGAAAGAGCTTCGGGGCCACCGTGGCCTTAAGCGATTACTGAGGCTCCCCAATGGAGGCTAAAGCCGTTTGCTGGGGCGGCAAGAGAAAGAAGCGCTTCTGGTTTGTTGTTTTTCTCCTTGTTGAGGCTGCGGCGGGACTCGCCGCTCCTCCTTCCTCCCCCCCCCCGCCCGACAACGAAAGCTTCGGGTCTCGGAGGAGGCAATCGAGGAGTCTTAGGCTGCCTGTGGAGGGCGAATTGGAGGGAAGTCACCCGTGTTTTCTGTCGGTTGACCGTCGCCTTCACCGCTTCCTCGATCGCGAACCCGGGAGCTGCGGCTGTTGCTGAAACTCCTACCGCGG